TTATCTCCCGGATACCCGGATGTCAAGGCTTTGAGAGTCCCGTTCTATGGTCCAGTTGGATTTAAAAAAAAAAAGAAAATAAATTAATATAGTTTCGTGCCCTGTGACGTACATTTCACCAGGTTAAAATAGTATCTCGAGCTTTATGCTTTATTTATTTGTAACACATTAACCTCAAAACCTTTTCAGCCTTTTCTATCTACAAATTGTATGGTGTAGCGATATAACAGCACCCAAAATACTATCAAACACTCCAACGCAGCTCCATTCTTCGCGAAAGATGGATAAAAAAGCGCACAGGAAACAAAAACCTCGAAAAATGATATACGACCCGCCAAATGCTGGCCGAATCACAGAGATGCCGATTCGCACGGGACTAATATTAGCACAGGACCTCGGTGTTCGGCGAAATATGGTAGGTCTTTTGCGGGGGAATTTTTACTTTACAAATTACAGACATGGCCGATTCGCACGGGATTAAGATCACAGACAACCTCCGCAATTATTACAAATGACTGGAGGTAATACTAGTCCCGTGCGAATAGGGCTTTAGACCGCTTACACCGGTTTCGGTCGGAACAGGTTTTTTAATTGATGCGGATCAGTTTAATTTCTGATTCAGTGAAGAATGACACGTGACAAATTCTCGTTTTGTCCGTTTAGTTCTACATTTTGCAGCAGCAGCATTTTGGTCAAAAAGACCTTAAGTTTGAAAAGAAAAAAAATTTCAAAACATACATTTGTTTGATTACCATATTGTGTTTAGAAAATCTACGACTCAATCAGGACTAATTGTCTCAGCGATATTTTTACTGTCTGTGGTGTGCCTATGAAAGATAATTATTAAAGGGGTCATATGATGCGATTTAAAGTTTTCCTTTCTCCACAAAATAATGATCTTTAAAAAAGCATCATATGACCCCTTTAAGTGACTTTATAAGGGTGAACAGAAAACGCGGATAAAATTCCACTCCAGCACACGCAGCCCATATTAGTTTGTATCGTTGGTATATTAAAGAAGAAAAATATGGGTAAAAATGAGTAAATGATGACAGAATATTAATTCTGAAGTCAAGGAATCCGTCAAATGTTGTAATTTTAAATTACCCGCTTATACTTCACCAGTCATCGATTTGTCACAGTACAGTCTCGCAGATGCTCCATGTCATGTTTTTGAGCGGACTCGGATCCCTCTTGAGAGCGTCGAGTGTGTGTATTTAGGCTAATACCTTTGATTCAGTAACAGTTCATTGAGGGTGCTCTCCTGCAACAGGACGGGGAACATTTCTCCAACTTCATGTCCAGAGTCGACTTAATATCTGTCTTTGCCAAATACAACAGCACCTTATTTCAACGGCTTTATTTTCATGCAGTGCATATTTAGCGCATTTAATTTTCCTAAATTGTACAAATTCTTGCTCTTTAGTCATACTGGATTCGCAACAAGAACTCAAGTTGACCATTTCTCCTGTAAAGGTAAGTTATCATAAACCATTTCAGTTTTACTGTTTTTTTTTTTTACTTTCATATATTTCTATTCTGCAAATTCCAACATTTAAGTAACTTTTAAACTATTATTTCAACACTTTTTGCTGTTGTTTAAATTACGCGAGATAATAATTATTCTGAAAGATGTCTATAAAACTAGATTTTATAGTTTTTGTTTATAGAATTTACTACAAATTCCACATCCACTCTTGGATATTTATTACGCAACACATTTTATCGCTCAGTTTTGGGTCTAATCCAGTCTCTGGTTGTAATTCAGCTGTATTTAAATCAGTTGAATGCCACCAACTAATGTTTTAATCTTGTTTGTGTCATAATTGACTGTTTAACTGACACTAACTAACACAACATCTCCCTGGCTAGTGATAGTAGGAAATGAGCAGTTATATGTACTGCACCACACAGATTGTGACACAAGATTGACACTGAAAAAAGATGATCAATTTGTATGACCGCTTTTAAAATTATATATATCTAATGTAACTAGATCAACACATCTTTTACGATGTTTTTTCACAGGACTTATTGAATAATCCACCAACAAAACAGACTAGTCCAATATTAAAGTTAGGGGTTGCAGATAACCGCAATGTTCGGTTTTACATTTGTCTTGGTCTAATTAAGTTGTAGGCTTCATCGTGTTATATGTGACTGCTTCCAGGCCATGGATAATGAATACAATGAGCTAAACACAAAGATCTCGAGATGAATGCCCTACAGCTGTCAATGTCTGAGATGAGCCTGTGTGCTGCTCTTTGCTGGAGGTCCATTGCAGCTGCATGCCAGCTTTCAGCAATTATGCCTTCCCCCAAAAGAATGGCTTTAAATGGGGATTGAGGAGAGTGGAGCAGCACATATGATTAAGTGCCTCATTACTTGTCCTCCGTGTGTGCGAGCACATGTGAGACGCAGGAGGATATGGAGTCACAGGATGCTGTCACGTACTTAATAATTAACCCCATGTCTGAGGGATTATGAATGGGTCATCTCTACAATAGTCTTGGAAAGTCATATGACTTGCTGCCCTTCTGATCCATTGATATACGCTTGCCTTGTGATCTCAGTTAAAGGCATAGTTCACCCAAAAATCTTTATAATTTAAGGCTGGAATACACATACGCATGATTTTTGCCCAGATTTGCAGTTTGAAGGAGTCGATGCAAGTTGCTGAACTCAGAGCCAGTTGGAGTTGACAGATTTCACAGAAAATTGTGTACTTTATGATGGACACCGATGTTTTTTTTAAGCTTCAGAA